CATGTCTCAAGACTCAAGCCATTTGTCCTGCCACGTTTTCGACCCACCACCGACCTCCCACCACCCGCCCGACTCATTCAGGGGAGCCCAGCCTACACGGTCCGACGCCTTCTTCGATCCAGAAGGTGGGGGAGAGGACTCCAGTATCTGGTAGACTGGCAGGGGTACGGCCTGGAGGAACGTTCCTGGGTGCCCTCACGCAATATTCTGGACAAAACCCTCATTAGAGACTTTCATCGACTGAACCCTCTCCAGCCTGGTGGTCCTTCAGGAGCCGGACCTTGAGGGGGGGGTTCTGTCATAGCTCTGCTCTCTGTCAGCTCCTCTGTCATGCTGCACACTCAGTAATCACTCAACTCATGTCACCTGTCACCGCTCATTATCCCACAGCTCCACCACCTGGTCCAGTCAGTACTTAAGCTCACTCATTCCTCTCAGTCTGAGACAGATTCTCTATCCTGTCTCATCAGCAGTAGACTTTCCAGCATTCCATTGATTGACTCATCACGTTCATGACCCTTGCCTTGACCACGACCACGCTTTTGCCTCAGCCCTCGTCTGCTTTTGCTCATCTGATCAGGTACTGACTCATGCTCTTGTTTTTTGACTCTCTTTTTGGATCACGTACTGGATACTTCTGCTGAACAACTGACTTCACGGTATGAACTCTGCCTTTCCCTTCTGACTGTTTTTTGGATCACGGATTAAAGGTCAAGCTCATTCTGTATCACGGACTTATCCTTACCCCTGAATCTGATTCCCACAGATTCATTTCCCCAATTAGTCTCTTTCCCCCTGCATCTACTAACCTTTATCTTTTAGTTGCAAGCCTGTTGGACTCCGTTCCAGTGGACCTTAACATCAGTTCTACTTCTACTGGCAGCCCGCCACTACAACACTACCCAATCACGAACTACCAATCAGAAGATCGGAACCAGCCCAGAACCGGACCTACTCCAGAGTTTTACTTTATTTCACAATAAATCTTTTAACCCTCTCAGTGGTTGTTGTTGTTGTTTGCGATCCGGCCTCTGGTTCATGACAACATTCTGCACATGCTATGTTATTGGTACTTTTGGTTTCCTCTTATTTGCAAATATTTTTCTTTCTCTGCTTGGCATTCAATGTGGACAGCAAAGTAAGAATTACATTGTTCAGGGAAACATGTTTCC